ACCATTAGGCATGCTCACCTAATCTATTCCGGATCGTAGTAGCCAAGAGAACAAGCGAGTTGAAGTGATGACGCGCCTTTCTACGGCTTGAAATTGCGTTAAGAGGCCGGCTAGAAGCTCGCACAACCTGCAATCCACATCTTCGTGAAACTGAGGTTCATCTTTTTCTGAGCGGCATTCGGAATGCCAACAAACATGTGGAAACCACTGCTTGTGGTTCAATCCCGAGTATAGACAACTTTCTGCATTTTTGCACCTGAACTTCACTTTCCTGGGCTCATATATGTCTGAACTTATTCAGTGAACAAAAAGCTCCAACACCAAAAATTCAACGCTGCAAACGCTGTAGAGTTTATAAAAAAATGTAGTTCTACTTCTGGCAGAAAATTTCTTTCCTTTTCTGGCAAGCACAGGGCCGCTCCAATAATGAACATCAATTTCATTCTCCACGCACGTCCTCCTAAAACATGCATGCGTTTTGCACTTCATGGCCCATACCCCACCCATCCAAAACTTGACCTGAACTCTGCAGGTGGTTCTCCAGGTAGTATTGTGTCCCGTGGCGATACGGCGATGTATATAGGCACATATAGGCGCACGCACAAACCCACAGATGCATACACGCACCCACCAGACTACAGCTTTATATATATTTAGTAAGGCTTGTTGTTATTTTCTTTGAAGCTCCTCACGAGGTTGGCAAATAACAAAATAACTTTTATTGGGCTTACGTTTCGGCGAGCATCCGGCCTTCTTCTAGTCCTGAAAGAGTCGACAATCAATATTATGCTACCATATTCCTAGACTACTTCCCTGAGCGCAGACATAAACAGACTCATCACAGTGACCCATCCAAGGTGGCCACCGTACCCGCCATAACAGTCCATTGTCCGAGACCGCGACAAAAACAGCAGTGACGACTCCGGCACTGTTTGTGATTCAAGTCAGACAGTGGAAGCCAACGCTTTATGTAGGCTCATTCCCTCGGGCGCTAAACTTGTTAGACATTCTTAACTCCCCCCCAACTCCACGTTCATCTGGTTGTGGACTATGGCCTGAATTCAGAATCCTCGAGCGCGTTTCTGCGCGGTCTGCGATTCTCTCCTCGCGCCATGACCTCGAGCCTCTTCGACCCTTGAGTCGTCCCCCCCTCCTGGTTGTGTCATTTACCCCTGTGGCCCCTGAGGACACAGCATAGCCGTGACCTCTTCTTGCCCTCCAAGTGCTCCTTGACTCGAACACAGAGTGGCCTTGCCGTTTCGCCGATGTATTCCTCACCACACCTACAACAAGTGATTTTATAGACCACCCCTGAGATGGTGCAGTCGCCCTCCCTGCCAGTCGGGACAAACTACACAATTGGGCGTCGTGCATAGGCGATCGTAGAGGCGATTTCGTACAAGCCGGTGCTTCAGATTGTGGGGTGGCACATTTACAATGGCAACTGTGTTCTCTAAACCAGACCTCCTCAGACACCTCCTTATGCAAGTGCTGACCTCATCGGAGACGAATGGTACCATGAATGGGATTTTGTCGCTTGGCGAGGTACCACCTGATCTTCTTGCCGCGCTGCCACCTCTTGCTCCATGGGAGGTCGTAGACGTTCCGGTAGCCATTTAGTGCTGCTATTTCACGTGCCATCCTCAGCGACTCCTTCCGTTCTTCTTCTCCCGTGCAGACCTTCGCTGCTGTTCGGAACATGTTCCTCACAAAGTACTATTCTAATTCAGTACAATTCCTGACCGCCAGTCATCTCAATTCGTTTGACTGTCTACAAAAGACCCAGTCTATGTAAACGCTCCTAGGTCACAACAGTCTTGATGTTCCTTTGACAAAAAGACTTGAAAACTAGCCAAGCACATTCTGCCGCTACACTCTCGCTTGTCCCTTACAAGTCAGCCAGGCAACGAAGCATGCCGCACGAAGGCAACCGAGTATACCCAGAAATCCTGGCTACTTTCCAGCAGTTACAGTAGCGATGGGTTGCTTTTTCCCAAAGGCTCGCACCACGAATCGACATCATGCACGGAGGACGTTATCGGCAGTGCACTGCCACACTGTGCCCTTTCACAACTGCATTCCTCAGAAGTTCAAATCATATGCTTATCATGCGTTGAGTTGACGACAGCAACTACAAACTGACCTTTTTCTGTGTGTCCAAAAATCAAGAACAAAAACAATAGAGGCGGGATTTGGCATCGGGTAGAAGAGTCGCCTAGAGGAAAAGGTTTGAACGTTTTTTTGGATGTAATCTTGTAGACCACCCTGAGACTGTGCAGTCACCTACCGGTCGGACAGACCACACAATTAGGGGTGGTACATGAGCGGTCGTAGAGCCGATTGCGTACGAGGCGATGCTTCAGATTATTGGGTGGCACATAAAATGGCAACTGTGTTTTCTAAACCCGACCTCCTCAGACACTTCCTTATGGAAATGCTAACTTCCTCAGAGATAAATGGTACCATAAATGGGATTTTGCCATTGAGGAAATTACCACCGGGTCTGTTGCCCGGGCCGCCATTTCTTGCTCTGTGGGAGGTCGAAGGGTTCCCGTAGCCATTGAGCTCAGCTATTTCACGCGCAATCGCCAGTGATTCCTCCGGCAACCCCGTAGAAACGTAAGCCAATAAATTCTGCTTGACTACCTCGTGGAAGCTTGCAGAAGATATCAGCACCGAAAATGAGAGTCATCGCGGATCCATCAAACGCCTGGATTACGCGCTGAGTGGATAGCAGGCCAGAAATGGCTGAGTCCGGAATGGGACAAAACCACATGGCGACACGCAACACATTTGAACGCCCGCGACCGTACGCCTAATTATCGGCTGATACGTACATGCCTACACTCTTTGAGATTGATCGAATTTTTAATAAAGCATCTTCACAGGCGGTTGGGATAACTGGCGCTTCTACCACTAGAAAACAAAACTCGCATTGAATTTTTCACAGAAGAACTGATTTCGTCTAAGTCGTTAATTCGGAGTGACAGATGCCGTTATCACACCACACTAACAGATAATAAATCAAAAGATTGTTGGTACAGCATTGTAGAATCGACAACGACGGAGGAGGTGGCAAGAAGGATAAACCTACGTATGTGGTGTCGAAAATTGTATCGGATAAAACCGCTGGCAGTACACAGGCAGCAACCCTCCGAGTTACCCAGCGCCCCATGCACTCACGAAAACTGTTTTCTGGTCTCTTTGATTCAGCAACAAGCGCCGGAATATAAATCAGTAGATGGCCAGCGATACAAATTGGTAGAATTTCGAACTACGCTTTGGGCTTGCGCGAATTAGGTAATCAGCCGACTCGGTGAAAAATGTAAGGCGCTCACAGCGCTTCGCATTGGAGAAGATCACAAGAAACTTGGGAGCGAGAAGAGAGGCAAGAGCAAGAAAGACGGGAAAGAGCATTAGACGCATGCCTTACCCCTTTCACGAAAGTTCTCCTTTTCTGATCTCACATCCTTTCATAAAGAAGGTAGCCTGATCAATGTGTGTATGATCGTTCTACGCTTTAACACGTTGACGACTACGTGACGCGGTAACGCGTCCCACCCAAGTCATCCCTTTTTCTTGCGCTTGTGCGACTTATTCCTAAGGTCTTTGTACTCATTCTATAGGTCATACATTAGCATACTTAAAAACCACATGGCTCACAGAAAGGCCAAATATTCTTTAGTTTGGCAGAGTTTCACCTACGGATATGTTGTTCAATTCATTCGCGTTATTTTCACAATGCGACATGTTGATAACAAGGAATAATAGAAGCGAATAGAAACTTATCCTGAAGAAGTGTTTGCATCTGAGTATTGCGGATTTACAACTTAAAATCCATGGATTTGTGTGCGGCGGCGGCGTTCGCAAAATCGCTCCCGTCCCACGTGGTGCAAAAACACAAAACGCGCGATGTCGTCAACGTGCTAACGTTCTTTTACGAACCTTGCGTCAGCAAACACAATATATCTGCCGAGAGCGTCTGCTTTAATGAATCTTGTAAGAGTCGAGCCAGACTTTGCTAAATCGACATTCGCTACTAGGCGATTTGTAGCGTCCGATCCTGCACGCGACGCTTAGCGAGGCGATAGTTAGCGGATTCTTTTGAAAGCCTGACTCGGCTAAACTTGAGTGGATTACAGAATGTAGATACAAATCTGTCCAGAAGGGGTGCAAATACAAAGTCCGAAAGTGGGCTCACAAACGGCGCCGAGAGGCAACCGATTAACGAGAACATTTGTTCAGCACAGGTAAAGTTCTCACGTGAACACAAGGATACCAATAACAGATCGAGAAAGAAGTGCCCAAAGTTTAGTGCTTGCGACCAATTGACTCTCAAATCCAGAAGGGTCCGTTTGGGTAGGATTCTCAAGAGGGCAACATTGCCGGGTGATTCCGGGTTTTTCCTTTCTGCGTGACGAATATGGGACGGCCCTGCACTGCAGCTGCAATGACGGGCCCCTCTTTGGTTTGTGTAGACAACCAAAGCAGGATAATCAGTGCAGGTGGTCAGAGATAAGCGGACCGTATGATCGTGTATCTTTCACAGTGTATAAAAGTGCATTGCAAACACACAACCGTCACAAAAGTACTGAACAGTGTCGCCTTCGCTCAACCATGGGGACAACTTCTCGACGTTGCACACGGAGACAGTTGTTTCTTTTAGAAATCCAAATCATCAAATGAATCGTGACAGTAGGGTGAATATCGCTTGAGGATTCCTCAACGGCACGTCGAGGATTCTCTGCCCGATCAGAGACGATCTCTCGCGCGGACATTCACACTCGCCATGCCGTGCCGTCTGTGCTCTCCGCGCGGATGTTCACTCTCGGCACTACTCTCGCATGGTAGAGAGCTATGGTCGAGGATTTCCTCGACCGTTATTCACCGGTTTGGACAGTGAAGTTCGGCTTTCCATGAAACGAATTGTTTCAGAATCTGTGTAGGAGTTCACTGAGAGGTTGTATGATGCCTTTTCTGATTGCCCCCAAGCCGAACAGATGTTGCTTGAGGGCTTCCATAAAATCCCAAACTCAGCGTAACCTTTTTCACCTACATTTTTCATTAATAATTGTTCATAGTTCGCCAGTTAGCTCACTCTGACATATGGCGAGTATCATGTGCGTTTATTGGAAGCACAAAAACTTTCGTAAACTGCATTTCAGAATGATCCCTCTGTTAGCTATCGCCCTCTTCGGTTACGCAGGTGCTGCTGTGCAGTACTCGGACTCTTTCGCCAGGAACGTGATGTTCCCGCTGAGCGCAGCCGCCTATTCGGATCAGCCCCAACTGTGTCTCGACCGACTGTTCCCCAACTCAACAGTGAGCGCCTTTCGTAAGCGCATGCTCCCGTTGAAGCAAACCATCTCAGACCAACTAACTAGTGTTCAGTTACAACGACTGGTAACTGTGAAGTGCGACACAAGCAGATCTGAGCTGGACAAAACGGGTTTGTGTTCCGGGTTCACTGCCGTACTGCGCAAGCAGAAGGCGATCGCTCTCAGTTTCAGGTAATTTTGGAACTGTTAAAGTCGTCTATTAGCGTAGAAATATATTACGAATACTCGCTCTCGCTGCAGAGTGGGAACAGGGGTGACAGGACTTGTGCAGCTGCTTCAGGAGATCAACAAAACCGTCTTCTCCAACTTGGTGAGTCCTTGCCTAACTTTGGTTCTTGCTGCGGCTACGACTGCGGCTTTGCATTCCGTTGTGATGGACCTGTTGATCAAGTTCCTCCCAATTCTCGAGAATGAAACAGTGTTTCTTTAGACCTCGTGGTTCTACGGAGGAAGGATTTCGAGGTACTTCAGCGAAGCATTCTCCAACATTTGGTTCGATGGAATGGGTGAAGATTTCCTCACTCTACGGAAGCAGTATCCCGAGTACGAGGTTTGGGTGAGTGTCCAAATTGCTTCCGATCCGGGTCCTGCCAGAAAGCATTTGTTCGTTCCAGATCACTGGTCATTCCCTCGGAGGTTCATTGGCATCCTTGGCAGCATCGTTCTTGGTTGGATCCGGCATGGCTAAGCCAGGCAAAGTCAAGCTGGTGACATTCGGCCAACCCAGAACTGGTGACCGCAACTTTTCAGAAACTATCAACAAGGTGCGACTACTTAACCTTAGTTCAGGGCAATTTCATGACTAAATATGACGTAGCTCACTTACAGTTAGACTACGCGTTCCGTGTGACTCACTGGAGAGACATCGTTCCTCACATTCCCATGGGCTCACTCGGTGGATACTTCCATCACAGGCAAGAGGTGATACGTTCATAGTGACTGCGAAATCGGCTATCTCAGAGCAACCACACCTTTTCAGGCTTTTTATGGAGATGATATGAGACCAGACAATTTCAAGATCTGCACAGGTTAGTAATTCCAGCTACCTGTTGGGATCAAACTGCTCTTCTTGACAGCCATCGAATTTTTCAGAGGGAGAAGCCGTCGAGTGCAGTGATGGGCTGTGGTTCACCACGAGCATCGACGCACACACTCACTACTTTGGACACTATGTGTCAGACTACGGGAGAAGCGGCTGCGCCAACTGAACAAAACTTCGACCACCCAAATCCTCTCAAAGAATAAACACATGAATCTCCCTTCTCTTGACGATTGTTTCCATTCCCTTACAAGGCGAAGTGGAGCTGCTCGTACATACATGATTGCGCAAAATATCACGTGCTAGTTCAATGCGACAAGAATTTGGCGTTATCAGTATCGCATGAGTAAAATACTTTGCACCTTATAAAGCTCGAAGGACATCTTACCTCATTTGATACCTAAAATGCAGAAGACCACTTTGTGAGGAGGACCTTCATAATTTCCCTAAGCAGAACATCATCGAGTGTTGAAAGGATTTATGCGCTGATCAGCAGCACGGTAATACTAGCTCAGTTCAAAGAAAGATGCACAGTGCTTCGCATGAGAAACTGTTGCAAAAGCGCTCAGCGGCTTGATGCCTTCAATTTTCGGACCTTTTGTTCATCAACCCAACGCTCAACATTCAGGGAAATTAGCTCGACATCAGAAGTATCGCCGCACCATCCCTCACGACTTGGACACCCATGGACAATCAAGCTTGCCTATAAACGCATAACCTGCTTTCAAAGCCCTTAGACGGTTATGAGCCACAACGCAAATGCCTTGAGCTATTTCCGTGACCACTAAAGATGAGTTGAATTGAATCCCCTCGTAATTTCTCGCCACTTACTAACTGCTTTCAATTTGCCCTTTGACTCAAGGGAACGAAAGTGCTGGTTAAGAAGGAACGAAAGAGTTCAAAAAGAAAACCTGCACGACCCCACTAAGGATGAATTTTTGAGTGGCTGTCGCGCTGAATAGTAATCAAAAGAGCATCACCGTATTCAGTTAGATGGGGAAAAGCGTTTTCTGGGGATTGTGTAGCTTCCATCTTAATTTATACAGTCACCAATCCACTCCCAATCCTCTTGCCATCAGCTCGCGCTCCAAGAGTGGAAAAATTCTGGGTCATTGTCAAGAAGAGCCAAATCAAAAGTTTAAGTGAAGCCCTGAGCTCTCAAGAAGCGTTGCTTTCCGAAAAGCGTGACAGTGCCGAGAGGACGATGACGTATGTACCTACATATATCTGATCCAGATATAAGGGACTGGTTTTGACAATTAGACAAGTGTCACGGAAAGGAGAATCATTCGAAGAATCATGCATAGTTACAGTAACCCAGCTACGGTAGGTCTGCCTACACGGATCGAACTGCACAAAAGGAGCACCCCCATTAACGAGACCTTCGAAAGTGCCGAAGTAGGCTCTGATGAGAAGCGTATTGAGAGAATTTCGCTCGAAAGGGCTTAACCAACTGACGATCGGAGGATTCCAGCTCGTACCCACTTTCTTCACTATCCATCCAAAGCCCAGTCACGCATCGGAATCTCTTCAGGGACTCCACTTCGAGCTATGTAAATTGTGAATTAAAGATAAATCACTAAGCTTCGACCATGGTGACCAAGTTTTGCAGACGCTTACACGACTACGTTCGTGCGAGAACGTGAAGTTCCCCAAGGTGGGTAAGTATACAATAAAGTTCACGTGATGTCTGGTTGGGAAAACTCCCCACTGAACTGGCGACTGCAAACTTGACGAGGTGATAGAAAGCGGTTGGGATTTTGCTGATGAGGCAGCGTTCCACCACCTATCATTTCGTCCACGGAGCAATCCGAGATTTTCCCCTGCTCTCCTAGTGATGACTCCTCTAGAACTAGCCGCTTGATAACGCATGCTTGATTGGTATCACAGGCAAATAGCAAAACACTTATCAGTTTAGTTCTGGAATTTACCGGTAAACACCGGCTGAGAAAAGGTGACGTTCTTAGCTCGAAGTTCGCTGCAAGATAACAAACCAACTTTAGAAGAGGAGTTTCCTGCAGCAACGACACGCTATGACATTATAGTACGTTCAAAAAATGCAAACCAAACAGTGAAGCGAACGAGGAAGGACGAGCACTTCTTCAGCACCTCATGTTATTCGAGCGCGTTGCAGCTTTAAAGCACGCCATCCCCCAGAACGCTCGGATCGTCCCTCCTTTGCCGTGCCAATCCATCACGGTGGTATACGGTCACTTGGTGGCTGAACGTTTCTCCCTGATCAGCTCTTAAAATAGCTAAAGGTTGAATATTTAGTGAGCTTAGTGTTGGGTACCAATGGGTTTGCGAGGGAGTAGAGCTATTCGAAAAAAAGGACGAGACTGCTTATGACAAAGCGGAATCAAACCCTGGCCTGTCTATTGTTGGAAATTTCTTTTTCGACCACTCGGAACACATTCAGCGTTTTGCAAAGATGCGCCATTGTAAGGAATTGTACCAAGGCAGTACGAAACTTCCGCTACTCATACTTGATAGAAACTCAGTGGTGTGATATGCACAGGAGAACTGCACACCCGTCTGTTCAGACTTCAAGAAAGCGATGTGAGCGACTTTTGGGACTACGTATTTTCAAGATGATAGCCTAATGACCTCAGGTGCGCAGCCTACGGCAGTCGGTGGTATATTGGGGTTGTGAACCTTACAATTACAGAAACGAGAATAGAAGGCCTCGCGACCGGTTTGCAGGAAGACAAACGCAGATTCGCACTGCAAGGTGAACCAGTAGGGCAGGATGATTCGACTAGCCCTCAGAAATCAAGACCGGGTTCTCCACGACAGTTTCAACGAGGTGTCCGCAGAGGAAAGATCAAAGACGTCAGGGATCACCCCGCTCACAGAAAACAAGGCCGGCTTCCCCACGCCTACAGCAAGGTGTTCTTGTAAGAGAAATTGTGATACATTCGAGTCCATCTCGATTCGAAGAAACGACGGGAGTACCTTTCGAAAGAGCGGTCTTTCGAACGAATTTTTCGAAAGCGCTAATCTTCTACTTACTAATTAGCCTTAGACATCTGCAAAAAGTTGATTATGAAGAAAGTTATGAATGTTTGAATGTCGAAAACTCGCGTGTGCACAAAAAACGGAACAACGGGACGATTTTTGAAATATTGAACATTCGCAACATTTCAAACACTTTCCAAAAAGGAAACGATTTAACAATTCTTTTCGAATTTTGAATCACGCCCCGAGGGAAGGCCGTCTTGCACATTCGCAATGAACATAAAGCCTCTGTAAATTTTGTGGTCTATCAATACTCAGACCACGTCGCTTCTGATACGAAGAAAGCCATGAATAGAAATATGATGCGCACGGCCATCAGCGCGGCGTAAAGCGGAGAGAAGGACGAATCGTTCAAAGGTGCGTCACATCGCACAGGCGAACGACTAACCCACACCGGGAGTTCCTTCAAAAACAGGCGATGAGTGGTTGCAGCTTACCGTCGTGAAGAAACACAGACAAACGTACTCTCATGGTTCTACTTATACCGAACTGTGTACGGCCATATGCTCATGCGTAAGGGCCGCTCTTCAAGATTGGGTGAGGGTGATGGACATTCCATCCACAAACCTCAAAGTACAATCAGTCCGAAATCGTCCATATGATCGCCTTATGGA